GTGTTTTGAGTCAGGGTCTCACCATGTAGTGGAGACTGACCTGGAACTCACTATGTAGCCCAGGCTGGTCTCGAACTCACAGCCATCCTCCTGCCTCAGCCTCCCAAGTGCTGGGATTACAGGTGTGCACCACCACGCCTGGCAAAAATTTTCACATGTCACTAAAGAAAATGATGATTTCATCATGCTAAGTCAATTAATTTGACTAAGGGATCTTTATCAATCCCATCTTTCTAATATAACTTCAATTCTCTCCAATAATTCATTTACATATATACTAATAATACTAATACATATATACTAATAATACTCCAATAATACTTTGAAGAAGTTTTAGGGATGGTGTTACTCCTTGAAAGCTCCTTTTCATAATAAAATGACTCTCTTATCCCAAATGAGTACCAACCAAAGTAACCTGTCAAGTAACGGTAGCTCACCAGACCATTTCATAGGAGACATATGCCTATCACTGGGACTTCGGGTAATAACAAATCAAACATAAGGTGACAGGGTTACAGCTTGGCACGTCACAGTCTTCTGCTCCTTGCACATTTGGAAAGATTTTTTAAATGGCGGGACAACACTGGACAAATAGCCTAGGTTGTGTATTTTGCTGAGCCCTTATCATCCTTCAAAGTTTTAGCCTTATTGTTCATTCATATAGATTTCATAGCACATGGTCTGTAAACGGTATTATCTGCAACAGATGACATTTATTAGCTTCATAAATCCTTGATGACAATTTTAACCAGAATGTCCAGATTGATTAAAATAAACCCTATCCACTATGCCTGCTGGAATAAAGTGAAAAGCAAGAGAAATTGCTTTTCTTCTGGAATGGTCTGTCCATTCCTTGGATGGTGCAGAAAGCAGACACTCCACTGTCTCAGAAAGAAGGACTTGAGCCAAGAGAAAATGGAGTAAAGGTTTAATGGAAGCCTGACCAGGTGGAAACAAAGAGGATACTTCCAATTTCAGAAAGCTTTCTGTATGAAAGTGTTGCATATAGCAGTGCCCTTTTTAATTTAAGAAAGTCTAATTTTTATTGTTATTAATAACAGCATGAAATAGAAAACAGTGATATTGGAAGACACGAAGTAACCTAGAAATAATTACGGTATATTTCTATGTTCCAAGTCAAACTGACCAAATTGAGGAACACCACATAAATATTACAGGGGTGACAACTACACTTTCAGACCAAATGCAAAGGTTCTTTATTTGCTAAAACATAGCAGACTACAACTCTGAAGCAATAAAAGGCAGGTAAATATTGGTAGTCATACCAATTATACCAAGATATACTTTTGTTTGTGTTCATTACCTCTTCACTGGGAAACCAATGATCTTTTTTTTTTTTACTTCATTTACATATATACTAAATTTAACTTTTCCTCGACACTTTACATGCAGAACAAAATTAATCTAAACTTCAAAATTGAAACATGAAACCCCAACGTGACCACTTACATGTTGTCGGTGTAAATGAGCTGGTTCTTGGGGCTCCCTGGGTGGTGGGGGGCGGTGGCATGGTCGGAGGAGTCAGCCTAGACTGCGTCTTCACATCCACAGGTGAGTCTGGCATTGTGGAGTGCTTCTCAGTACGATCTGGAGGATGCCACCAGGAACAGGTTATTTTACTTCTTAAGCACCTTAGTTTTCAAGTGGGGTCTATCTTTTTAAAAAGCAAGTTAACAGAAGAAATTCAACATCCTCTATCAATAAAATACGCTTATCTACGGAAGTTTAAATCAGGATTTTATCATCGAAACCCCACTTAAGAAGGTGTAGCACAGATGGCAGGACCTCATTTGTAACTAGGTTATATTATATCCTATTGTTATTTCTGGCTGGGGCAGATGCTACCTTAGCAGTGTTATATGCACCGACACAACTTCAGTCGGCACTGAAGCCAACATTCGCAAGAGTACAGAACAGATGAGGGAGAAAGATGATAATGAACTCCTCCTGACAGCTCAGAAAGAACAAAAAAAACTGAAGTCTGTTATGCAGGTGAGACACTGGCAAGAGCCAGCTCTTGGCGGAGAATTTCTCTAACACCTGCCATCCACTTTCCCTGCTTGGAGTTCTGGTCTATTAGATGAAACAGCTCACATCTCCCAGACATAGCTCTCCCTTCAGTTTTTATCTGATCTGTTTTAAAATCACCACTACACAAATGCTTTATGTTTCACAATGAATTTAAGCTATTATTTACTTAGAAAGCATTAATTTAGGACCTGTCATTTTTTAAAATGAGACCAATACGCCAATTAATCTCAGACCCAGAATGTTAAAGTCTCAAACTGATAACTAACAAAAACTAAAGACAATCCTATTACCTTCTAAAGTACAAGATATGGAGAAATTTCTTAACTACTCAATAATGAACATGTATAGTTCACAACTGTTTTCTCCTAAAACAACAAAAGATTTTTCCTAATCTAACAATAGATCTTTAGTAAAATGAATTTTTGTTTAGATACTTCTACAAACATGTGAAAAAACACATCCCCAAAAATGTTTTGAGGTACTTCTGCAACTTAAAAAAGACACAAGTATTTTACATATGAACACTTGGAAAAGCAAAACAAACTGTAAAGAATAAGCCTTTTTAAATATTATAATAACCATAATGAGAAATTCACAAAGTTACTTAAAAGTCAATTAAAAGAAAATGAAAAGCCCAAATTACTACTGTCATCATTCCAAATGTAGATCAACTTAGTCCAAAGTGGTCTCATCAGACTCAGGTTGCAAATAAAATGAAGCATTTAAAAAGTTGAACTAATGTTGAAACCATAGTAGGGAAAAGAATAAAATAATAAGAATAATAAGAATAAAACTGATCATTACCCAATAAGTGCAATTCCCACAATGATCTAGTTAACAGTATCTACTGGTTGAATAACAATGAGTGAGTCTACGGTCATTAAAAGTGTTTGAATGAAATGGTGGTAGAGAGCTTCGCCACTTTGACTGTTAAAAACTTTTCTTCATATTGCTATTCTAGAGCACATTACAACCAGCATCAGGAAGTCCCTTACTAAGAAAAACACAGAAGTTAGGTAGGCTTAAAACTGCCTCTTCAGTAAATTCATTGCGCATTCTACTCACCTCAACCAACCTCAGCAACAAGGGAATAAATAGCTTTCCGCTTATGTTGCAGCTGAGGGAAGAGGTACAGCAGCAAATACAAGTCTCCCTAAATAAAGGCAAATATTTCTGTCATGCCAAGAAAGGAGGGAGAGAGGGAGGCCTGCCAGAGTCGGCTGGGAGATAACAGTGGGGACGGCTGGTCCATCTGGCTTTCATTCTGCTAACACTCACATGGAACTGTGAGCGAAGGCAGTCCAGATACACAGACTGGCAGCACGTGGTTGCACAGACAGAGAAAGGAAGAGCAGAGGGGGCAGGGGAAGCAGGAGTAATGAACAAATAAAGCAAGCAGCAGACAGGAAGAGAAAACAGGCAGAGAGGAGCCCTAAGGGGAAGACACTCTAGTCAGCTTGGTTCCCCCCACAGCCAACGCTGAACCTTGAAGATGAGTGCAACCCCACCCTCACACCTCAATGTTCAAACAGACCTCACACCCACTGTTCCTCCTTCTAAACAGTCCACGCTAAGAAAAAAGCAAATTCTAAAAGTGGACAATGGGTTTCTTCTTTCAACTTAAGAATCGAGTTTATATTCAACATAACCTTTGTATGCCACTTCTGTTCCAACTTTAGAAAACATTTTTGATGCAATCATACTTTTTATTTGACAACAAATTGAATATCAGTCTTGGTCCACATTTATCACCCAAAGCATTGTCAGAGCAGTGCCTTCAACATAGGTGATGTTTTTTTTAATTTTTAAAATGTCATCAGTATTTTATGAATGACCACCATCAAACCAATGCATAGCAAGACACCACTACTCCAGGCAGGAATAGGGACATTCTAACCAGAATATATGTATGTGGATATATTTAGGATTCTGACATTAGCCAAATTTCTGCGATGGTTGACTTAACACTGATCAAATGGAGTTCCAACCCAGAGGTCCTATAAACTGAGACAAAGTGGGACCATATGTAACTCATTTTGTGCTGTTCAGTGCAATCAATCCAGAATGGAGATAGATGGTGAAATCACAGGCCAGGCCCAATCCTTACACACACAAAAATCCTCTGGAGCAGAGAGATTTAAGATAAATTTGGAAAATATGTCTCAAGTATGCTCAGCTCTGTTGCATTTGTTTTGGATTACTTAAAAAAATTTATTTTGAAATATATATCTTGAAACTTTTACAGCAAACAGCACAAGACCTATGATTTAACCACAGAAGCATTTCACTCCATTTCAAATTAGAGGACATGGTAAAACCAATATTAGTTATTCTATATCTTATATAATTTTTTAAATTCATGAAAATTATACTTCTCTGGTACATAATTTCTAGTTTTTCACTGCTGGAAGAGAACGCTGACGTTAGTGAAAGACACAAAATGATTTATTTTAAATAGAAGAGAGAGATGAGAGGGAAGAAGAGAAGAAAAAAGGAAAATAATTTGATCAGGAAGGGAAGGGAAGTATAATAAGACTTTGCTTCTACCATGATTCACACCACTTCTAAACAAGATGATCTTCTCTATGCAGTAACATTTCTCTCACTTGGCAAATATCCAACACATATGCAGCAAATATGCTGGAGCATGGAAGAAAATGTGGCAAATATAAATATACATATTACCAATACCATTCCAATATCCAATTAATGGTCAGGGCCTTCTAGAAGTGGTATGTTTTCCATTTCCTCTTTTCTTTTAAGTAAAGAGAAAAGGTATGGCATAATCTGCCTTGGCACTTATTTTACTTCAAGTTAGTTCAAACAGTTCCAGATGTGTTTTTAAGGTATGAAAAATTGGTATTCTGTATTTTCCTTGTTTGCATATCATTCTAGACATGATTGGTACAACAAAAAAGTTCAATTTTGGTAGGTAGTACATCTCTTGCTATTAGGACATCATATCTCTTACAACAGAAGTCTCAGATACAGATTATAAGAAAGTTCTTGGGCAACTAGAATTTAGACCAGAGTCAGTCTACCTGAAGAAGTGTTAATGAAAGAACTTAAAAGACACTCACTAAAAAGTATTAAGCCAATGTGGAAGCCAGATACTACTAAAAGAGAATTAGGGGAGGAGGAGGAAGACTGGGAAGGAAATGGGATTAAAATCTTAATTTATACTGTATTTCACTGGAAAAGATAGCAAACAGAGTTCTGACAATTAGCTCACTTAGTGACTGCAAAGCCTGGGTAGGAGCTGCTGCTGATAACTGCCCACACATCAGGACAATGGTGCCTGCTGCTTTCCTGCTGTCCAGCCTCCACATTTACCTGGTGAGCACTTCAGCTATTGTCCATTCTTGCTTGGGCCTTTCAAGAATGGTGGAGAAGGGATGTCAAATGCTATTGCTTTAAGCACCCTGAAACAATGTAGCAGAAGGATCTTTGGCCAAGTAGTGAACTTCCAAGCTAAGACAGACTTGGCATCAAGAATTGGCTCCTTTAACCATTAGTAAGAAGCCCTCCCGGAAGTTAATTATCCTGAGCCTCAATTCCTCATAAGAAAAATAGGAAGCCAGGGATGGGGCCATGCACTTGAAATACCAGCTACCTGGGAGGCTAAGGCAGTAGGATTGCAAAGAGGCCGGCATCGGCAACTCATTGACTCCACTCCCCATCTCCAAATAAGACTTACAGAGGTAGGAGGGAAGGGAGCAAGGGAAAGGGGAGGAGGGAGGGATACAATCCTCTTTCATGGAGACAAAAATTAAATAAGATGCTTAAAACTCTATCATAGCCAGGTGTGATAGTCACACCTATAGTCCCAGCACTGGGGAGGCCAAGCAAGAGGCCAGTCTGATCTACATAGCAAAACCCTGTCTCAAAAACAGCAAACAAACCCATCGGGGTACTGACTCTTATCAAGCACCAGTAAGTACAAGCTTCGTTTTCTTGTGCCTCTCTTCTTGTGCCTAGAATAGCTATTTTAAGTGACAGGAACAAGTCTATCTTCTCTTAGCATAGGACACCTTGGCATTCCCTGACTTTTTTAACCTTGCTTTTTCCCAGTATTTTTTCAATGTTTTCTTAGGAGGGTGCTTAATGCCTATGATCATGGTTCTTACAGGCAGGCTGGTTACATTCCTAACTTTTCCAGATCCATTCCCTATATTTTAGCCAGTTCAAAAACAACCAACTGCTATGAGTAGTGTGGTTTTCACCTGCAATCCCATACTCTAGGAGCCTGAGGCAGGAGGATCTCAAATTCTAACCCAGCCTGGGGAACTTGGCAACTTAATGAGACCTTGCCTCGACAAAAAAAAAGAAAGAAAAGAAAAGAAAGGGCTGGGGATGTAGCTCAATATGAGGGGAGGTGGTTTCAATCCCTAATACTGCAAAAAAAATATTTTGTGTGTGTAACAAACTAAACACATGACATCAACAGTTCCTAAATATATAAAGAACAGACACTCCTTGATTTCTGAAGGGGTTACAGCCTGATAAATCCATTGTAAGTTGAAAACATCATAAATTGCCAATGAATTCAACACCTC